CAAAATAGTTGAGTATATAACATGATGTTGTAGAAGATACAAGTTAATTCCAGGTATAGAACAGGGAAAAGTTAATTAAGCCTGAATATCTTGTGCAGTCATAAAATGAGTCCCTGCAAAGAACAAAAAGAATTTCACATTGATAGATAATGTCAAGAGAACACAAGAACCAATCTCAAAGTTCTAAATAGTCAATGTTGACAATAATCTGAAACAACAAAATATATAATGGTGATATTGGATTTTAATCCAGGAAAGTAAAATATCCATTTATACCAATATAAATATTAAAAATTGAATGAATAAAGGAAAGAAGGGGCAAAATCATAGTTAGCAAATTTAGGAGGGATGAGGAAAATTTGAAACCACTATTGGGTAGCCATCACAATCAAAATAGAAACAAAATCTGCTGAGAGAGACTAAAATTTGTGGGTGAAAGTTTGAAGAAAAACAGGACGTGAGCAACATCTCAGTGTATCTTCTCCAACATACTATCCATGAAGAAAAACAGTTTACAGTAAAGATAATTGACATATATTATCATAAACAAGTATCATAGTCACCAGTAATACGAATAACAATAAAGCATACAACTTCTTGATATGATGCACTGAGGCAGGTGTAGCACCACTGTGGTATTTGTTCCAAATATCCACAACCTCAATGTAATCATGAGAAAACATCAAACAATCTCAGCTGCAGGATATTTAGTAAAATATCTTACCAGCTCTTTTTCAAAAGTATCAAAGTGAGTCTGGAAATGTGGTAGAGCATTGACCTAGCATGAATGAGACCCTGGGTTCAACCTGCAGCTCTGGAAGTGTGGGTGGGGAGTCAGAGACAGAATCAGAGACAGGTGATCCTAAGACAAGAAGTGACAAGCCAGGCGCTCGTGGCTTACGCCTGTAATCCTACCTACTTAGGAGGCTGAGATCTGAGGATCGCAGTTCCAAGCCAGCCCAGGCAGGAAAGTCTGTGAGACTCTTATCTCCAATAAAAACCACTAGAAAACTGGAAGTGGTGCTGTGGCTCAAGTGATAGAGCACTAGCCTTGACCTGAAGAGTTGAGGGACAGTGACCAGGCCAAGAGTTCAAATCCATGACTGACAAAAAAAAAAAGGAAAAAGTGACAAGAGGAAAAAAAAGACAGGAGACTAATGAGCCAAACAAAACAATGACTATGATAATTTATTTAAATCCAAGTGTATTGAAAAAATTTCATTATGTATGGGTCTGTCTGTTCTTAGTATGTGATTCCTGAGTACTCTTAGGACCCTAGTAGTGGCAGAAAGCCACCAGATGTGGCTCTCAACCCTGAACTAGACTGAGAGTCCAAAGAAACCTCTTTTTCTGTATAATTGGCCCATTTGTAGACATGTGCTATTAACAATAGAAACCAGACTGAGACAACCAAGAAGCTACTTACTTGTCAATCTTCCAGTGGTTCCTCTCCTCTCTCCATTCTGTTCATGGTCATCCTTTTTTTTTTTTTTTGTCGGTCGTGGGGCTTGAACTCTGGGCCTGGGCGCTGTCCCTCAGCTCTTCAGCTCAAGGCGAGCGCTCTACCACTTGAGCTACAGCGCCACTTCCGGTTTTCTGGTGGTTTATTGGAGATAGGAGTCTCACGGTCTTTCCTGCCCGGGCTGGCTTTGAACCACGATCCTCAGATCTCAGCCTCCTGAGTAGCTAGGATTACAGGCGTGAGCCACCAGCGCCCGGCTTCATGGTCATCCTTAATCTAGAAAAGTTTTATGATTGATGAGGTCCATCCTCTCAATACTTTCCTTCAAGGTTTCTGCTTTTTTTTTTTTTTTTTGGTGTGATGCTAAGAAAGGCCTCTTTTACCCAGGATTAGATTCTGATTGTAACACTTATAATTAATTATCTTTCTCATTGGCTGTGGAGGACAGGCAGTTCCATGATGCCAAGTCCTCTCTCTTCCTCCAGCCTGAGACTAGAAGTTTGTCATTTCCTCCATGCTGTCCTTGCACATGTGAATGCAGATTGTGGTTGACAGGCACAGAAGAAAACAGTCATAGTAACTTCAGCTCCTGGTGTTGGCCACCAGGAAGCTGCACCTGGGGTGGTCTTGTGTTCCATGTGGACCAGAGAACTGGCCCCTGTCTGGGAACACTACTGCCCATGTGACTGAAAATCTTCTGAAAGTCTGACAAAGTGTTCCATGTAAGAGGCCTGCAGTTGGCTCACAAACTTGCTAGTATCCCCTCCAGGAAGCTGGTATAGGCAATGTTAGAAGAGAAGAAACTTCCTGCCTTCCTGATAGACCTTTCCTGCATATCCACTGGCCATCAGCCAGATGTTATATGCTGGAACCCTTCACAGGGATATCTAAGTGTCCTCAGATCAGAAGGGCATGCGTATAGGTGCAAGGCCTGACTGAGCCTCAAGTAGCTTGCTGATTAGTTGGGCATATAACTGGTGCTGTCAATTATCAACAAATACATTGGCATTGGTCAGGTAAACCTGTCAGCCCAAGTGTTGTGTAACAGAACATGTGATGTAAAAATGTGAACTCAGGGTGACAAATACCTGAGTTCCTGAAAGCAGGCTGAACCAGGACCTGCTCAGTAAGTTTGTACAACAGGCTCACAGAACCAGGCCTGTGCAAATTTTACTTCAGGCCCAAACCACAGACTTGCAAATCATGTCCAGAAACTTGTTGAACCCTTCAATCTCCTTCAACTTGATCCCTACTTAATGTGACCCTACTTAAGTCCCTCACCCCTGCTCCCCAGGACACCTCATGTCTTCTGACTCTCCTCAGGTCACCCTAGTATTCCTCTTCAACTTTCATTAAAGTTGGTCTGTTGAAGTTGATGTCTCTGTCTGCCTTTGTTCTTCTTGCCTTTTGAATCCATCCTTTACTTCCCTAACATTGTGGGGATCGAATAAGAGCTTTTCTTACTTCAAGCTGTACAGATTGCTCTTAAGTTGATTGTGCTTCTTTAAAGTTTGAATGTCCTCTTGGAGCAATGTATTATGCCTTAAACAGACATTTCCTTCCAATTGGTTGGGCCACGTGATGCACTGGTCCATGCATAGGTCCTGGGAAATAGGATGAGAAGAGAAACACTAAGATATGTTCACCCCTTAGGGGAATTTTCCACAATCTTTAGCCCCAGTTAGTATAGTCAAGATCACCAAGGAGTAGCAAAGCTGAATGCCTTTTTGGAAAAAAAATCAAAGGTTTACTGATAATGAAATATGCATTGAATTTATGGACTATCTGCCTTTTCTTCTCAATTTCTGCTCACATCTTCACCTCAAATGTCATCACAAATGGAATGATCTACATTCAGCTTGTAGAAGATATACAGAGCCAGGTTCTCCCGTTTCCATCTGCAGAGTGTGGGGCGCTGCTCAGCATCCTTACCCATTCTCCTATGACGTATGCTCACAAAGAGATAGGCCTGCGTACCCTTTCCTCCTTGTGAAGGGCTTGAAGACTGCCTTTTCTCAATTTTTTTGAGAGATTGTGTCATTATGCAGCCCCAGCTGGCCTAGAATTTACCATCTCCTACTTTGCCCATCTGAATGCTGGGATTATAGATATATACCACCATATTCCACCAGCACACTGTTGTTGTTTTTTATAATTATGAAGATCCAGACTCACCTGTCAAAGAATTTATAGTATAAACTGAGAAGGAAAAGAGACACAAATATACACAATCCACACCCATAATTTTTAGCAAGACATTCTACCACATCCCAGAGATCCTCTCCTTGACTTAAGAACACACCCAGTAGGGTTGTATTATAAGGCCTCAGGTCCTCTTCATGGATTTCCTACCAGTGAAAGTCCTACAGCCCCTGAAAGGACCCCAGAGCACAAAGGGCAGTCTGAGCTCACTGCAACCCCTGCACTGACAGGGCCAGGGACAGTACAGCCAGTAAGAATAAGGCCGTCCACTTGGGCTGGGACTACAGGAAGTGGCCACTCAGAGTTCCATAAGGGATTTTTGTCTGTTTTGTCTCCTGAAGAGACTCTGAGGAACTGATTTTTTTAACAAAATTCACATGAGACTAGTGCATATAGGTATAATATCAATTTATTTTTTTTAAAAAACTAAATGTCAATAAGAATTGCTTACTCTGGGGGCTGGGAAGGTGGCTCAGTGGTAGAGCGCTTGCCTTGCATGTTCTGGGTTCGATTCCTCAGCACCACATAGGCAAAAAGAAAAAAGCTGGAAGTGGCGCTGTGGCTCAAGTGGTAGAGCACTAGCTTTGAGCTGAATTGCTGAGGGATAGCGCACAGACCCAGAGTTTCAGGCCCCATGACCGGACCCAAAAAAAAAAAAAAAAAAGAATTGCTTACTCTGGCCAGTAATAGGGTACTTGCCTAGCATTCTTGAGATCCCGGGGGTCCTCCCCAACATCAAAATCAAACAAAATCTGTATGGAATAAACATGGGATTGTAGCTCAGTGGTAAAGGAACTCTTGCTTAATATATGCAAAGCTCTGGGTTCTAGCTTCAGTACCTCAAAAAGAATTTTTGAGTATCAAGGTCATAAAATCAGTGTTAAGAACTCTCTAGACTGGAAAATATTGAGGACTTGCAATATCTAAACTCATTGGGAGATTCTGTAGTGTTTTAAGATATTGAACAATAGAAAAAAGACACTGAAAAATTATAAAACTCAAGTAAGGTTTCTAGTTGAAGACTATCCTATCAATGCTAACTTTCTGTATTGATTCTTAAACTGGAGAAAGCTGGATGAAGGGATGCTTGAACTCTGCAGTATTTTTGTAACTTTTCTGTAAGTCTGATCATAACTAAAATTAAGCTTTACTTGTGAGATCTTGATTCAAGCCTCAGTTCTAACCCTGTGCTCTGTGCTCTTTCTGGGTCTGTTGCCTTACTAAACATTGAAGCAGTTCCACCATGAAGAGCCAGGAAGGTGCTGTCTTACTCATACATTTGCCCTACTTTACTTCAGCAAAGAAAATGAACATTGAGGAGCGGTGTGCTGGTGGGCGCGGGCCAGCACAGGGGGCTCCGGGGCTTGGATCCATGGCATCTAGGGCAGGGCCACGAGCGGCTGGTACCGACAGCAGCGACTTCCAGCATCGGGAGCGCGTGGCCATGCACTACCAGATGAGGCCTGGGTGCTGTCCCTCAGCTCTTCAGTTTAAGGTGAGCGCTCTGCCACTTGAGCCACAGGGCCACTTCTGGTTTTCTGGTTGTTAACTGAAGTGTGACTCTCAAGTATGAAATCAAGAAGCTGATCTACATGCATCTGGCCCTTTGGCTGCTGCTGGTTGCCAAGATAAGTGTAGGACACCTGAGGCTCTTGTCACATGATCATGTGGCCATGCCTTATCAGTGGGAGAACCCCTATTTGCTGAGCATTGCGCCCTCCCTCTTGGGCCTGCTCTCTTTCCCTTCTAACACTATCAGCTACCTGGTGCTCTCCATGATCAGCATGGGACTCTTCTCCATCGCTCCCCTCATTTATGGCAGCATGGAGATGTTCCCCGCTGCACAGCAACTCTACCTCCATGGCAAGGCCTACCGCTTCCTCTTTGGGTTTTCTGCTGTCTCTGTCATGTACCTGGTGTTGGTACTGGTGGTCCAAGTGCATGCCTGGCAGCTGTACTACAGCAAAAAACTTCTAGATTCTTGGTTCACCAGCACACAAGAGAAGAAGCACAAAATGAAGCCTGCCCGATGGTCTGCTCTCGGGTGGAGCCTGGGCTCCCCCTGAGCCTAGTGAGGTGGAGGAACTGTCTCTTCTGGTGATTTGGGCAGCTGTAATGTTGGTACCTAATGCAGACAGGGTCACATTTTGGCCTAGAGTTCTGTTGCTGATATGGCAAGAGTATATTTAAATTATTTCTGATTCAGCAGCTGGGTGACCAATAGCTATGCAGTAGCTGGGTAAAGTTAAGGCCGTTGGGTATTTTTCTTTAAGACCGAGCCTTATCCTTGCCTTCTTTGGTCATTTAGCTGGGTAAAGTTAAGGCCGTTGGGTATTTTCCTTTAAGACCGAGCCTTATCCTTGCCTCCTTTGGTCATTATTCCCATTTCTATTCCTCACCTCTTTACCACTCAGACAGCAGGAAATAAGGAACGAATTAAGTCTGCTTCAGTCTATAGGCAAGAAACACCTCAGAGACTACACCCCCTGCAGGCTGTGCTCTCTACTGCAAAGCATTTCAATTTAAGAGACCCTCAATAAAGTTCCTAAGACTGAAAAAAGAGAAAAAAAAAAAGAAAATGAACATTGATGAGCAGTGGCTTTGGAAATAGTTGTAAAGTTGTAGTTGAAGGAATCCATCTCCAGAATTCTTCCTTCCTTCTTTCTTTCTTTCTTTCTTTCTTGGCTCCTTCATGGCAAATGCTTGATGCCTGTTTATTCAAATGTATAATGAAGCACCAGAAAACAACATGCAATATTCTCCCCCCTCCCTGATCTGCAATCCCAGAAGTAGGAGACCCATAACCATGACGTTAGTGGGCTCATGTCTAGGAAAGATCCTAGGTGGGCAGGGTCAGAGCAAAGGGCAAAGGGCAAGTGCCCTGTCTATTGGCCTCCTACAGCAGCTGGAGAAACCAGATACCTCCTTCACTGGGTTCAACTAGGCAAAGCAGTAATGTCAGCCCTGGTTGGGAGGAGACTCCAGTTCTGTAAGGACAGCCTTTCTCTTGGCACTTGGCCTAGCTCAGCCCTCTGGAGGCAGTGAGGTGAAATGGCCTTTCTTAGGATGGCCATGGTGAGACTGACAATAGCCCAAATCAAGGATCTACAATCTGAAAACCAGCCAGCCTCTTGAGCACAAGAAAGAGCCTTCCTGCCTAGGGAAAAGCTCTGAGCTAGGACTTCTTGGCAGCAGTGAACAACACGCCCCCCCTTTCCTAGTGGAAAGGCCAGTTTCTAAGTTCAGTCCCCAAATGAGACTGCTTTATCTATTACATATCTATGAAAATATAAATACAAACACAGAATCTAAACAAAGTCCCAGGAGAAGCTGCTCACTGCCCCCGACAAGGGCCAGCTTGAAGAAAAGTGAAGGCTACCCCTTTGTTCTTTGTGTCTTTGGAGCTGCAGGCAAAACTGTCTATCCTCCCCCCTTTCCTTGAGTAACCATGGGACAACTGAGGACAGAGAGTTTCAGGCTTAGGAAGATTTTCACCTTCATCTCATATTGTCCCTCCTCAAATCCCTTCCCAAAAATCTAATAAAGGAAAATAAAACCAACAATGAAAAGAATAACCTAATTCGTTTACTGAAGGACCCCAGAACATCTAGGGTTATAAACCTCACACTTCCCCTGTCATGTGGGGGAAGTTCTGACCCAAAAAAGAAATGAGTGGCTCTCAATCAGAGGTCATAAGCCTTAAGTACCTAAGTAATGCACATGTTACTATGAATGGTAGAGGGAGGAGGGGAGGAGGTGGAAGGGATTGACTAAGTCCTGAGGAGAAACTGGTACAGGACACATTCACCTTTGGGATGATAAATGGGCCAATTAGCTCTGGATTAGAAAAAATGGATAGATTTCTTCCCTCTTCATGCTTCCCTGAGCAGCCCTATGGCAGGGAAGAGGCCAGGTAGGAGGCAGGTAGCCCTTACCCAGTTGGCACTCTAAGGCCCTGGGGCCCAGAGAGGAACTGAAGGAGGTATCAGACAAAGACAAATATGGAACTGGGTCCTGAAGTGAAGAAGTACCAATAGCATCTGCCTGCCCTGGACTGAGGAGGATATGGAGCCTGGCAAAAATAGGAAGCAAGGAGAGGATGGGAAGGCCAGGGAGAGGGCATTGTGAAGGTGGAAAGGGAAAGGACAAAAGAAGGACTAGAGAAGGTACTGGGGGGAAAGGGAGAGAGTAAGGGAGAAATGGGCCCATCCATCCATGTCCCAGGGCTCTGGGACAAATCAGCCTCATGATGGTCTTTTGGACCCTGTCAAAGCCCTTCACTGGCCCCACGAGAATGAAAAGAAGGCCTGGGCAGTTTTCAAAATGATCTTGAAGCCTCAGACCCCAGAGGCTGGGGTAGGGAGATGAGCTGAGAGGTAAGGTGAGGAGATCTTTAGATGCTATTCTAGCCTCTCATCTTGTATCTCAACTGTGAGATGAGACCAAACTCAAAAAGGGCATGGAAGAAGGTAAGAAGTTTCTAGATTTCAGAGTGCCTGGTGGATGGAAGGATGAAGGGAGATAGACAAAGAATTCTGCCAGTAACTTCCCTTGGTTTCTTCCTTGAAGTTGCAACTCAGTTGCAGTTTAACTGCTCCCACATATGGACCCTCCTTAGGCCCTTTTCTAGGCTGACAAGTGATAAGTGCTGTAGAAAAGCAAGGAGCCAGAGAAGAGAATGGGAAACACACTATGCTCTGGGCAGGCTAGAGATCAGACATGGAGACTAGAAAACAGCCATTAATGGCTGTCACCAAGTCATGGTTGGGCCTTCCATGCAGTGATAGGAGCAAGACTGCTAGCTTGCTCCCTGATCCCTACTACATTGAGGCTGAGCAGGTGACAGAAGGTAGTTACTAGGGACCAGTCTCAGAGCTCTGGTGTCTTGCCCCTAGTCCTGACTTGCAACCTAGGCTGGTTCCCAGAGGCTAGAAAGACACAGGTAAGACCCAATAATGTCTGGTTTGGGCCATAGACAAGAAGCACTGAACTCTTGTTTTCAGGGGTTCTAGCAGGAGGAGGGATAGGAAGCCAGTGGTAGGGGCACCTCGGTTTCTGACAGCAGATGGCTGTCCATTTGTCATCTCAAAAATGAAAGCCCAGAATGATGGGGAAAGGGAGTTGGAAGAGAAGAGGGAGGTCCTGGAAGCCGGAGGTGTTGAAGAGGTGCTGTCCATTCCGGGAATAGCCAGGTGGGGGCTGATTACTGCTTCTCCACTGCTCCCTGATCAGCTGTGCTCTCCTGGCTGGTGCCCTGGCCCAGATCCTGGCCCTGTCCATGCCATGGGGTCTCCTTGAACACAAACCAACAGTTCCCAGCTCACAGGAAGAAGTTGATAAAGGCGAAGAGCGCAGAGGTGTTGGCCAGCCCCACAGAGGGTGTGGCTCCGGCACTGCACACTGCTTCCTCTCCATGACACGCAGACATGGCTGCAGTTAGGCTGGATGGCCGTGTGGCCCCTTTGACATCAGTCAGACCTTTGCCCCGGGCAGCTGCAGCTACTAGCCAGAAGAAGGTAAACGGGACAGTCACACAGAAGTCCACCAGTGGGAAGCGCTTGTTGTCTGTGTAGAGCTTGTGAAATCGCAGGTAGAGGACCACAGCAGCCATCGTATAGAAGAATGAAACGATGCCAAGAGTTACCGAGAACTCGGCAGGGGCAGAGAAGTTCCCCATGAGGTGCATGGTCTTGGATGTGGAGTCATCATCGCAGAAGGCATCTCATACTGGACCCTGTGCAACCTGAAGGGATAGCCGAACAAAACAATGATGGAACTCACATCCTTGGCTTCATTGTTGCCGCGAACTGTCGCTCCTGTCTCCCCGCTGTAGGAGCCGCAGACCCGAAAATAGCAAAGGACCACTGGAGAACTTTGATGAAGCCCGGCGGCTCCTCCGGCCGTCGCCACGCGGCGACCTGTCCGCGGTGCGTCCGGAGCTCCGGGCCGGGGTGCAGCGCCTGCGCTCGGCTCCCTCTTCCAGGGGTTATGGGGACCGCGCTGGAGCTGGGGGCTGCGGGCTGGGGTCCGCGGGCCGGGATCCAAGGCCTGGAAGTTGTTATGCGAGAAGCAAACGACTCAGCCTAAAGTATTTCTAAAAGGGGGAACTTTTAGACTAGAAGAAAATACAAATATGCATTACTTGTTAAAGAGGAGTGAGAGTAAGAGAAACTGTTTTGTTTCAACGTTTCCCTAATGTTATTATTGTATTCTTTTAGCATTAAAACATACACAATGGTCTGGGTGCTAGTGGCTCATGCCTATACTCCTAGCTACTCAGAAGGCTGAGATTTGAGGATCATGGTTTGAAGCCAGCCCAGGTAGGAAAATCCATAAGACTCTATCTCCTATAAATTACCAAAAAGAGCCAAAAGTAGACTGTAGCTCAAGCAGTAGAGCACTAGCCTTGAGGAAAAAAACAAAAAGCTGAAGGACAGCAGCATCTATCTAGACCCTGAGTTCAAGCCCTAGGACCAGAAAAAATTAAATAAATAAATGCACACACACACACACACACACACACACACACACACACACACACACACTTGGACTTACTCATCCATTAGAAAGAATGTCATTGTACCTTTTGTAAATAAATGGAAAGACCTGAAAAGATTATTTTTTAATTTAAATTTTATTGTAAGGGTGATGCATAGAGAGTTACAGTTACATGTCATGTAATAAGTACATTTCTTTTTGAACAGTGTCATCTCCTCCCTTATTTCCTCCATTATCCTCTTCCTCCCCTCCCCCACAAGTTGTATAGTTCATGTCCAACATAATGTCTCTCAAGTATCACTGCTGAATTGGTTCACCCTTTGTCCCACCATTTCTATGCTTTCTTTCCCCTTCCCAAACCAGATAAACTTGTATACAAGATAAAGGATACAGAAATCAGGAACAGTGACAAAAGGGAATAATGAAAGATAAAAAAGAAAATAACTACAAACAGTACAATAAAAAAATCTCTTGTTTTACATTTCTTGGAGTTCATTTCAATAAGCATGATTTCTTTTTATTTAAATTTTATTGTAAAAAATGATGTATAGAAGGGTTACAGTTACAT